TGTTCTGTGGGCCTTGGAGGCTGGCTATCGTCACATTGACTGTGCAGCTATCTATGGGAATGAAGTTGAGATTGGAGAAGCTCTGCAGGAGATTCTGGGTCCAGACAAGGTGAAGCAGCCCATCTCATCACACTGAGCCCTGAGCTGATGTTTTACTCTTTATCCTTTTGTATTTTATTATGAACATACATGTTCCACTTTCATGGATGTTGAAATATTATGTTTACAGTTTTCTTAACATAATAATTAATGTAAAACTTTTTTTCTTTTTTTATACAGATTCCCTCCTTTTATGTCACATATTCAAAGTTATTTAAAGTGTTTTTTCCCTAAGATCTCTTGTCTCGTTCTTCAGTCTCTGAGACGAGAGGACGTCTTCATCACATCTAAGCTGTGGAACACCCGCCATCACCCAGAGGATGTGGAGCCCTCCCTCCTGAAAACACTGAAGGACCTGAAGCTGGAGTACCTGGACCTGTACCTCATCCACTGGCCCTACGCCTTCCAGTAAGTTCAGCAGCTTTTTTTAGATCAATGTAGTGATGGGAAAACTGTCCTCACTGTGGCTCGGTGCCTTATAGAACCGCCTGTGGGAACAATAACTCTGTGATTGTTTTCTGTCTGACTTTATCAGCCCCATCACTAGCTGCATTTCCTCTGACCATATAATTTTCTAGTTTGACATTTTGAAAATAAATCTGCTTAATAGGAACACGCAAAAAGTTTTGGATTTTGATAAAAAGTGATCAAAATGTCTGTATTTCGTAAAACTGGAATGGAATCGCACTCGACCAACAACCAAATATTGTCATTGGCACAAACTGCAAAGAAGACAACAGGAAGTAGTTGGAGGATGATGATGTGACATGTGGTTTAATTACTTATCACATGACAAAACTTATTCACATGTGATTTTAATTGCATTTCTTATTTAATGCAAACACAGTAATTGCGAATTGCGTTTTTTTTTTTTTTTTACATCTGTGGAATATTGACAAAGTTGTTCGCATTTGTAATGGAGACGCAGCTTTATTCTTTTCATTGAGATGTGCTGAGATACATTTATGCACTGATAGTCTGAAGGACCTACCAATGCGTTTTGATCATGTTGAAGTCTGGACTTTGACCGGGCCATTGGTACACCTAGATTACTGTCATTTTCAGCCATGGTGTTGTAGAGTTGCCAAATTTAATTTCAGTCAAATGGTAATTTGACTGATCATTTCAGTTGGTGATAATAATTGCATAGCTTAACATAGCTATTACCAGTCCCCTTCCACCCTAACAGTTTAATTGTTCTAGTGCATTTATTCAGTGATAATACAGGAAAGGGGGCAGAGATACTGTAAGGTTAGGAGTCAAACTGTGTGCACCACTCACACCTGACTCCCCTCTCTGTGTGTCAGACGAGGAGATGCTCCATTCCCCAGGAAGGAGGACGGCTCCCTGCTGTACGATGACACAGACTACAAGGTGACCTGGGCAGCCATGGAGAAGCTGGTGGAGAAGGGCCTAGTCCGATCCATCGGCCTGTCCAACTTCAACAGCAGGCAGATCGACGACATCCTGTCTGTGGCCAGCATTAAGCCCACCGTTCTTCAGGTACATAATGTCGCTTTAAGGCTGAGGAACGGAGAACAATCAGCTGAGGGGGCTTCTGTACTTCTGTCCGGCAGGTAGAGAGCCACCCGTACCTGGCCCAGGTAGACCTGCTGGCACATTGTCGGGACCGGGGTCTGGTGGTGACCGCCTACAGCCCTCTGGGGTCTGCAGACCGAGCCTGGAAACATCCAGATGAACCCATCCTGCTGCAGGAGCCTGCAGTTCTGTCACTGGCAGAGAAGTACAAGAAGTCTCCTGCTCAGATCATCCTCAGGTGATTTTACTGATAAAAGCGTATAAACGCCACATGCACGTAGCATTGACTACATGCATGCAATATGTAATATTGTGTATTACATACACATTGTGTATTACTACATGCTGTGTAGTAATACACTGCTTTGGTGCTTACTGTATGTTAGATGGACTTTACAATAGCACTCATCACTGTCACCATAATAACTGTTGCTCCATGATAAATTGCAATAAACAATAATATTGTGGTTTTAACACCATTTTCAAGTAATAAAATAATAATGGCTCACTAATGCAACAACACATTCTCAAAAATCAATAAACTTAAAAATATTTTAAACATTTAGCACTGGGATTGGATGACATTTTAAATATCCAAAATAACTAAAACAGAAACAACAAATAAAATGAATTATGAAATCTCTGTAAAAACCAGTGTCCTTCAGAAAAAGACCAAATCACCAGACTGAAGACTTTTATCATGCAGTTTTTGGTAGAAAGAAAAACAAAGATAAATCATGCAAATGTAAATTATTGAGTTTTAATGTATCATGGATTAATTGATTTATTGCTTATTGAGACAGGCCCAGTCACAATGCATGTTTTGAAATGTTAACTACTCTGTATTTATTTTACTCTCCTTTCTGAAGCATCAGAATGGAGGAAAATACAGCAGTTGTCTCAGATTAATATGAACGGTAATTTTATTAATTCAATTAAAGTTAAAGTGGTTTTGTTGCTCATAGGGGATATATTTTAAGCCAGTTTATGTAATTATGGCTAATATAAATTCTAAATTCAGCTTCGTTAAATTATTATATTACATAAAATCAATAGAACAGCATTGAAATGTTACATTACATATTATAGAGAGAGTTGTCCAGATGACAGTTGTTGACTCTGTAACAAGGAAGGTCTTCAGAGGGTTGTATCCAAGCATAAGATTAGAAGGAAAATGTGGCATGATAAAAAAATATATATAAATAGGAACAAGAGACGTCTGGAGTATTTGGTTGATGAGTTGTATCCAAAAATAGTGACAGTATTTTTTTGCATTGGATTATTAATAAATGCTGCAGGTTTTCTGTTGGTCCCACACAAATAAGTTAAAAAAAAAGAAAAAAAAAAGAAACATTTGTTACTTTCTGTTGCTACTTTTCTGGTGCCAATTCCTGCTATTTAGCTGTATTTTTTCAACTGTGATACAGGATGTCACCTCTCATTCCAATATGAAACTATGTACATTTTTTGTTTACAGACTTAAAACTGTCTTTACAGTGACCCTATGAACTGACAACTAAATTTTTAAAACAAGAATATGCTGCATCTTTGAAAACTTTTGCAAATTTAGTTGGTTGTCAAAGAAAAAAAGGGAAGCACCATGAGCTAATGCTGGAAAAAAGTCAGTGAGTCAGCAAAAAACCCACTGATTTAGTGGAAGTAAAAGGACAAACAAGAGGAAGCAGCAATGATTGGAGTTTGGAAAAATCCCAGTAATGAAACATGTCACTGGTTTCCTGCTGAGTGGGTTCCAGTTATGCACATCTTGCAACGAGTCTTTAGCTGGAAACTTTTCAGCCCCACAGAGAAGCATTTCTTCTCCTGAGAAAAAAATAACCTTCTGTGATTAAATGAAATTTAGTGTCAGTTGGCAACAATAGAAGAGAAATGAAAATTGGACTTTAAAGGGGCAGTGTTTTGTAAAATAAACATTTTTGAGCTTTACATCATGTTATAAATTATTTCCTCACCATAAACATACCCTTAGTGTTGCTCTGATTCTGTCATGCATGTTTGAGAAATCCTCCTCCCCTGAGCTTCTGCCTCACAGAGCAGCCCTCCTCCACGGCTCTCCCACTTCAGACTAGCCAGCAGCTCATGTGATGAAATCATTACAGGAGCTACTTCTCAGTGCTGGTAAAAACATTACTAAAGGGTTAATAGAGGAGCCATGTTGTGATGACTTTCTGATGGCAGAGTTTCAGAGCAGGAGTTTTTAAAGAGACAGAGGCCCAATTTTAACATGTTAAATTAGGAAGTAAAATATATTTTAAGTCATATTTGCTCTATATAGCATTTTTATAACATCTGAAGTTAACATAGTTACTTGATAATGCTATAAAATGGTACCATGAGCCTGGAAAATACATTCTGCCCCTTTAAAAAATCTGTAATTCATGAAGATATAATAGATATAACCTCTTTCCTGCCAGGCAAGCGTGTCTTTGAATTGGATCTTTAAATATAAATGTCTTTTTTTTTTTTTCTTTTGTGGTTAAGGATATTGGTCCACATGTCAATTTTTCTTCCATATCTGTATTTATGTAGCCTTAAACACGGTTTCTCCAACTCTGTTAAACTCTCATCCTTTCAGATGGCAGACACAGCGAGGCGTAGTAACAATTCCTAAGAGTGTGACAGAGTCGCGCATCAAAGAGAACCTCCAGGTAATCTTTCTGTGACATCAGTTTTCTTCCACATGATAACATGTTCAATGAGCTCAGGTGTTTCTGTGCTTCAGGTTTTATTTGGTGAATAAACTCTCCTTCTTTCAGGTGTTTGATTTTACCCTCGAAGCAGAAGAAATGAAAAGCATCACAGCACTGAACAGAGGCTGGCGCTACATTGTACCAATGATTGAGGTGAGTAGGCAGCATGTCAACATGATTGGCAGTTCTTCTGCAGCCGTTTGAAGCAAAAACATGACCGAGATGTCAAAAAATATCCGCCCAGACGAGAAGCGCACCGACTTTGGCTCTAACTGTTTTCAGGTGGAGGGGAAGCGAGTTCCCAGGGATGCAGGACATCCCCACTACCCCTTTAACGACCCCTACTGATGACCGACACTATAGCCTCAATTTGTGCCTTCAACTTTAACCTCACATCGCTCACCAGTGTAGTTGTGCCATCCGTCTTCACTCTGTTAGATTCTGCACTTGTCGTTTGAATGCATCATGGTGACAGTCTGAGACTGTAAAGGAATTACTGTAACTCAAATGCACACCTGTTCTTTTTTTAAATAAACATTTTGTTACGTTGTCTGGTGGATTGTTTCCACTGCTGATCATGGAAAATCATGAAGCAAAACAGTACTTTATTAACTCTAACCGTTTTTTTTTCTTCTTTTTTTTTTTTTTTTTTCCTTGCTATAACAATCCATTATTACAATGTTTTAGTGAATGTGTAGAAAGTGGTCAGGATGTTTCTGAAGCAGCTGGCTCCGCCTCCATTTTCTGTAGAACCACCTCTACGTTTTCTCCCTGTGAGGTTTGGGACGTCTGCGCCTGCAAATGCTCTGTGAAAAACAAAGTTTAATCATCAACCTGCTTTGAAATTTCACAAATTCTGAATTTTAACCTAAGAATTACAGTTGTAAAGCTGCAGTATGTAACTTATAAAAAATATACTTTTCACATATCTGTTGAAACTGTCAGTATGGTATGAGAAGATTGATATCTGTTTGATTGGTTGTTTCTAGTTAGCACTGGAAGCAGGAAGGGCTCGTTTTTTGTTTTTTTTTCTTTACCTGCTCCCAGTGCTAACTAGAAACAACCAATCAAAGCTAGGAGGCGGGTCTTGGTACTGTCAGTCACCCCACCCCTTGCTTTCTGCTATGCTGCAGCTAGCATAGCCTATTGTGAATGTTAGTCTAGTTAGCATGTCCACCGATGATGGAGAAACTTTTTTTTACCCTTAGCACATTTAGCAGCAAATACATGAGCTTGATTGAAAGCGCTAAGCCCCTCCTGGCTTTGATTGGTTGTATTTGGTCAGGGAGTGGTGCATTTCTTCAGAGGAGGAGATCGATCTTTTGACAGATTATCTAATAAACTGTCATGACATGGCAACAGTTTTAACAAATATGTAAACATTTTCTGTAACAGTTACATACTGCAGCTTTAAGTAAACAAATGTGTCATAATGCAGAGGCATGAATATATCAAGAAATGGAATGGAAAATATGCTAGACAGACCATTGACCTGCAGTATCTATACTCCTATGCTGGTGCAGTTCTAGACATCCCATTGAATTCTGCTCATAATCTGTTTTAGACTCAAACGTTCCAAATAACTTTGAAACTGACCTGAAATAGCAACTTCTAAAACATCAGGAGATATGATGCAAACAAAACCACCCTTGAAAAAGCTCTTTTGTCTTAACTAAAAAACATTTGAAGACACATTTATTTGCAAATAAAGATCCTAATGAGGTAACACATTCAAAAATACTTAATTGACCCCAGAGGGAAATTAAACATTGTTGTAACTCATGTTAATTCAAATTCTTTTAAGACACAAGAGTCTAAGGCTGACCCGCATGGTTTCCTCCAGCGTGGTGTATCTGTAGTTGGGGGGTTCCAGGCTTTGCATCAGGCAGGCATGGAGGTGTTCACTGCGCTCTATGAACTGCTTGGTAATGGCCAGCTGCTGCTTCAGCATTTCATTCAGAGCAAATCCAGCCGGGTCCAACATGCTCACAGCTGATGGAGTGACAAAGAAATCTGGTCAGTACTACTTCTGCAGAACTCATGACGTTCTAAA